ACTAGGCACAGGACACGATGGCCCGGCCACTGCGCCGGCACTGAGGCTACGCCGCAGCCTCGCTCTCCTGCTACTCCCTCCCCTCTCCCCTCTCCCTTCTCCTTTTCACTGTCTGTCTCTGTCTCGCTCTCTCTCTCTCGCCTCATCCACCTTCTTCTCGCCACCTCTCCAACCACCCTCTACGCGTCTGCCTCTCTTCTGTTGCACACCTCCCCCCGCTCTACCCGCTACTCGCTCTCTCTTTTCGGCTCTCCGCCTCCCCTCCCTCTTCCCGATACGCGCCTTCTCGCTTCTTCTCACCCGACCATCCTCGTCCTTCCTACGTGGACGCAGTTCTACCCCTCCCCTCCTGCATCTCTTTCGACGCTTCTCTCTCTCTCTCTCTTTTTCTCTCGATCCGTGTTTTCGAACGCACGCGCGCCCTAACTCTTCTTCTTTTTCTTCTTCTTCTTCTTCTTCTTCTTCTTTTAGTCCTTCGCTTCTCCGACCGTTACTTCGTTCGAACCATACTTTTCTTCTCCGCGCAACGCTCGCTATGCTTGTTCTTCCATCTTCTCACTTTTTTCTTCCATCGCCTATCTCCTCTCTTGCAACCGTTGTGCTCGTTTTCAATTTTTCACTTCGTACGAGGTTTTATATATTTCGATTCGTCCCTCGCTTCTTGTTCCCCATGTTTCTTCCTTTGAATTTCGTTCGTTCGTTCGTTCGTTCTTTGAACGCGTTTCCCGCGACCTGGTTGTTATTCTTTTTTCCCCTGCGCTTTTTTACCTTCAAGATTTCTCAAGTTACATTTTATCTTTATCGCCTGCTCGGTCTCGGCTAACGTCGTTGTCTTGTTCTTTCTGCCGAAAAGAACTGTGTGCGTTTCTTTCTTCCACGCGAATTTCAACGTGCTCTCCTCGTCTGTTCGTTGTCGCTTTCTCCTTCTGGTTTTCAAGTTTCCTCGAGATATCATGTCTCCCGTCTCCATTGCGCGGTTCGAGAACAATGTTGCTCGTCGTTATTTCTTGTAATTCGCCGTTATGTCTCTATTTTCGACGTTTACTTTTCTTTGTTATAAATATTTCGATTTCGGTCAGTTTTCCTTCGTTTCGTTTCTCTTTCTCAATTTTTTGTTCACGTTAGATATTTTCGATTCCTTGTTCCCGAGCACCATTATTTTCTTCCGTCCTTTCACGCATTCTCCGATTCCTATTTTAATTTCCCTTTCATAAAAATTTTCATTCGTTTCATTTCTTTTTATTATATCCTCGTCTTAAAATTGCTCGTTGTTACTCGCGACGCACCTGTCGTCCATCTTTCTACTTGCATTCTTTTTATCGTTCCACTCAAACCGACTTTATTTCCCTAACCTTTCTTTACCTTTCACCTTTCCTCCACCCCTACTATTTCGATCCCCTTAATTCTTCCAAGTTTCTATTTTCGTTTTCACGATATATACGATTTCTTCTCTCTCTTTTTTTTTTTTTTTTTCATTTTTCCAGTATCATCAATCCATAGACAACACTGCCACGATTTCCTTCTTTTCACCCGTTTTCTTGTCGACTCCTCAGATTTTTCTCTCCAGTTTCATCTTTCCATATCATCGAGGATTCTCGTCCAACAACGTTTCGCCACAAAATTCAAGCCTGTGTGACGAGCCTTCTGCCACTCTTTCAACTCTCCCCGCAAAACCGTGCAATCCCCGCCGCCAGTCCCAATGGTGAAATAAACATAGTCCGGGAAATCTCTCGGTCGGTCTGCTCGGTGAAACCGCGAAATATTTAAGTCCGTCACGCTCCTCTTTCCAATATTTTTGACTCTTCGATTCCGATTCAATTTTTCATTAAATTGAAACTATATCCCTACATTCTATTTTTTTTTCTTTCTTTTCGTTTCTCTCTCTTTTACAAATATAGTATATATAATTAATAGTTAGACCTTCCTTAAAAAAAAAGCTTTTAAAAATACGAGAAGAGAAAGAATTCGATCGAAACGAGATTGTATAAATACGAATGAAATTTTCACGGAGAGAAGGGGGGGATATACGAATTCTTTAAATAGATTGGAAAAAAGAAAAATCCCTGGATAGTCCACGACCTTTGAGACGGCGATATGATCGGACATAAAATCCTGAATTGCGGCTTAGCCTATTATTATGCTAATAATATTCGAGCGGTGCGAGGTGCAGGCCGTCGTGCGATGCTAGATAAAGATTTCGCCGGTCGGCCCGCGAAATTCCTGACAGTCGCATTACAGATGATAATAAAGATAGATGATAGGTGGACGAAAATACGGATTCCGTGATTCCGCCTGCGGTTCGATTCCCCATAAATCGAACCTTTTTAACCAGCTCGAACCAACCCCGAGGGGTTCACGGGGGAAATTTTCGACCATTCCATTTTTTTTCCCCCTTACTTTCCCCTCGAAATTATTTTCTTTCTCGAATACCTTTTTTTTCACGAACGTGAAATTCCTCTTGAAACGAAAAGAATAATTCGAAAATTTCTTTTCCCTTCGAGCTTCGATATTAAAAAATATCATGAAATATTAAAAATAAATAAATTAAAAATATCATAAATTAAAGATAAAATAAATTAAATTAAAAGTATTATAAAACTCGTAATTTCTTTTTTCTAATAAATTCAAGGATAATTCTAGAGATCTGATCTTTAAGTATCGCGAAATTGAAATTTGTCATTTTCCAAGATTTCCCTCGGATTCGAAGGCTAATTGCAAATGCCGCCGATTATAATCCGGCCGTAATGCGCCACGATCGACTCGACGACGCTCCAATCATCCAAGCGTTTGATAAATTACGCGCGCGAAACGTTATCGCGATGAAACGAATTCCAACCCTCTTCCCCTCCCCCTCCCCAACGATTAAGAACGTTGTTTCGAAGCACACGTACCGAGGGTTATAATTACCCTATGACAAACAACATCGGTTGTAGCGATTCATATAAGACTCGACGACGAGTTCCTCCTCCCTCCCCCTGCTTATAACAGAAACCGCAGCGTTATACGCTTTGCACCTGTAGAATCGAATGTTTGCCTCTTGGAACGGGCCTCGGAAGCGCGGCCAAATGGCGCAATTAACATCCCAAATCTCGCCTCGAGATCCAATCTTTTCCCCATCTTCAAACTTCTTATCCTGTTTCTCG